TGTGTGTGTGTGTGTGTGTTTGTGTGTATGTGAGCCAACATTTGACTTTTTAAAAAAAATCTGTAAGTAAAGAGTTAAACGGCACTTGCAACACAATAAGATCATATAAGTGCCGAAGAATAGAGGTACATGTATTACAAGAGAGAAACAATCACAAAAAGAAAGAGCAGAGGAACAAAACACAACACAGCATCCGCCAGACACCTACAGAAAAAGGATTAACACCCGTATCAACACTATTAGGTTATTTAATAGGCGGGACCTCCGAGATTAACGCCAATCTCCGAAAGAACCGAGCCAACAAAAAAGAAATTCGTGTAAAGTGCCTTTGCCAAGCCACAACATCGGACCGAGCTGAAGCTGGAACTCCCGAATAATCAGCAATCTCGCGATTACGAACCCGCAGTAGCTAACCACTAGGCTAACGAAGCCAGCCAATATTTGATTTATTTATTTGAGTAAAGAAAAGCACATCGACTATCAGTACCTGCGGCAAACTCTCCTTCCTTCACCTTCACCTATCCCGTAGACTGGAAGTCCGTCGGGGCGCTTTAGAAGATTTGGTCACAAGCTTCCTCCGCTCCTTCCGGTCTTCGGATTTCCTGGGCGTGTCTTTGAGGTCCAGGCCTGTCCATTTCTTGATGCTGTCCTCCCAAATCTTCTTCGGTCTGCCTCTGCTCCTTTTCCCCTGCCTTTTAGGATCATCTTGGCAAGGCCAGCTGAACGGGTGATGTGTCAATAACATTGCAGTTTGCATTTCCTGACCAGAGTGAGAAGGTCAGCATTTTTTAAGGTCCAATTTCATTTTTGATGTGTTGTTTGACTTCTTCATCATTATTGTAATGTGACCTTTGTATGAGATACCAAGGATTTTTCGGAAGCATCTCATCTCCACAGCTTTGATCCTTCTTTCAAGGTCTGCATTCGAGGTCCAGGATTCACATGCATACAAAAATACTGACATGACCAGGAAACGCATCAGTCTGATCTTTGATTCGATGGTGATATTTATGTCGTTCCAGATGGCTTTCAACTACTTAGTCATTGCTGCTGAAGTTTGCGCTATTCTTGAGATTAATTCTGGTTTTGATCTTTCCTCTGTCACTATTGCACCCATGTATTTGAATTTGCGTACAAACTCTCAGCAAGAGAATATAGAAGTAGGGAAGAGCATGATACCAGAAACAGGCGACACAACAAACAAGAGAAAGTAGAAAGGTCGTTTGCTTCTCACTTCAACACCGTTAGGTAAAAGAAACCGGAAAGTAAAGTAAGTTATAAGTAAATTGAGTATGACAAGTGTCCTGGCCAGCAACACAGTGTGGGCAACTACCTCAAGTAATCGAAACCAACGACAAAACAAGACCACATTAATAAGTGACAACGATAATCTTCAAAACAGGCATCATATGCCTGTAAGAAAGGAGTCGAATGATATTTGTAGGAATTTGCAGGCAAGAAAATATGACGGGAAGGCTTTTATTGTTATCACTGCCTCTCTCACCCTGCATCACCTTTACCGATTCTGGGCTCCCCCACCAGGGCAGTGCTACTGACTGAAGTTGTCTTAAGGCAATTCCCAAAAGGGGATGTTAAAAAGTTTTTATGGCGCATTAGAATTGTAAATGGGCTGATTTATCAATATCATGCTCATACTGTGCCGAAACAACATAGGGGGAACTGTTGCTTTAGATCATTCTTCATCCTTACACTCATCATTTTTTCTCTACTTCTTTTTGTATGTTTGTTATTCTCTTGTGAATTGCTATTTCCTGGGTGCCTTAATAGGCGAAGCCAACTTTGAGCCGTTGAGGCTAGAGATGTGAGCAGAGTAAGACTGATTCCCCGTTTGGACTTCTCTGTTGACAGCCACCTCTTAAATTGGCGCTCATATGACCTCATGCAGTTGCGATCGCCGTAAAACCTTACTAAAACAAACAAACAAACAAAACAATTCTGGGCAAGCCTCTCAATGTATTCATTCCACGACACAAGCCGGAGAGACGTGTACGACAGAGAAGGTTGCGTGTCACTATAGAGTCCTTTCGGCTCTTGTGTCCAGTGTCCTTCATTAGCCCTGCTGGTGCAGAAACTCCTCTGTCTCACACGATCCAAAAATTAAAATTAAACTCGTATGTTTGTGTCTATGAATTTTTAAAAGAATACAGATTTTACAGGGTCGGGTAACTGAGTGGTCCTCCGTCAACTGGCTCTTTTGGAGGGGAGACCAGACCTCTATGCACCTTTCTTCGCCTCTTACGACAAGCAGTCTCCGTACCACAGCAGGTGGTAGGTGTTATTCTTTGCTCCCCCATAGTTCCCCCATATTAAAGACCAACTCTCTGGTAAAGACCCCATGCTAGTATCAGAGACCTAGTTAACATTGCTAGGTCTCTGCTATTATTATACCGAAGGCCCCAAAGGCCTCTACAATATAAATACCAGCTTCATAGTGTGTGCGTAATTTAATTAAAACGTCATTGGGCAACCCTGACACGAAGCAAGCGGAACGCAAAAGGGAACTGATAAAAGGTCAATGCCGTGCGTTGCGTGCCTTATTATTTCCTTGTTCAGCGAATTCTAGGCCTACTTTCTGAGGGTCGAGGAGCCAGCCACTTGTAGCCTATAGATCCGGTGCTGGCGTGCATGAAATCTGTTATGAATATCAGTCTTTACAGAATAAAGACTGCTAAGACTAATTTCAATTCTGTGTTCCATTGCATGACGCAGACCATTTTAATACGAGCAGTTTATTTATAATTTATTACTTATTTGACTGCCGAGAGAGATGTCGATCAAGTTTTACATAATTGGTCAAACGGAATGAACATACATTATACTTGAATTGCAATATATGCAACAGGGAAGAGGGGGGAAGAAAGAAATCTCTTATACTTAGGCAAAAGGTTTGTGTTGTGTATATCTCAACAATTATTACTCAAAAAGGCCAAATTACAGTCAAAAGAGGGAGCGGTGGCGGAGCGGTTAGCGCGCTCGTCTCTGAAGCCGAAAGTATGGGTTCGAGCCCACCCTACCACAATATGCCGAAGGCCCAGGAAGTCGTCTCACTAACAAGGCAATCCCCAATGTCTGGATCGGATGCGGGAACAACTTTACTTTACAGTTAAAGAGACAGAAATTGCCCCCCCAATGATTATTAACATCAGTAGTAGTAGTAGTGGAGGTCCATGATCGCCCACACCAGTCGGCAAGGCACCGGATGATGATGGAGTAGTAGTAGTAGTAGTAGTAGTAGTAGTAGTAGTAGTAGTAGTAGTAGCAGCAGCAGTAGCAGCAGCAGTAGCAGAAGTAGCAGCAGTAGCAGTAGCAGCAGTAGTAGTAGCAGCAGTAGCAGTAGCAGTAGCAGAAGTAGTGGCAGCAGTAGCAGTAGCAGAAGCAGTAGCAGCAGCATCCGTAAAGCGTAGTCGTTGGTGGGATTTTACGGCTGCCGCAAAACGAAAATAACGGAAGGGCGACAGATCATGAACTTGGTCGTTAACGTCGAACTACATTTTGCGCATTTTTCCGGTTCTTCCGTTATTGGTCGTCACTTTGACACTTCAGGTGTGAATGCGCTGTAAAACACCACTCATACATTACGTATTGGACCCGACTTTACTTTATGAAGCAGTAATTTCGTACTTGTACGCAACATTTAAGTAGTAAGTTTTATTAGTTTCCTATGGCATAATTAAGAGTGACTCGCCGTGAACATACTAACCGAAATAGATCTCTTCTTAACCCTATCCGTAGGTCGTGTTTTACTATCGTATCTATACGACGTGGGGAACTCTGTACCACCACTTTCCAAAGAGGAAATTTACTTGTTAATCCGATCCGTACGCTTTGCACAGCAGTCTGTCAAAATGATTTTTTGAGAAATACTGAACGTTTCAAAGAGATCTTGTGACTAGAAGTATTCTAAAATATGAAGAATACAACCCCGGAGTTACAAAATGACCCCAGGGCGTATGGATAGGGTAGGGGTGGGGGAATAAGACATGAATCACATGCAACGTTTAAAAAATAAAGTGTATTTTAATGAGTTACAACGTTTAACATCTACATAGTTAGCTTGCGAATGTGTACATGACTGTCAGCCGCTATTGAAAGGATGGAAGAATAATATAATATTCGGACTATAGCTTGCTGCATTTTAAAAAGTTAGCCTGTGTTTAGTTTTAGTAAGAGTTTTACAGCACTGGCAACACAATAATGCCATGTAAGTGCCGAAGATTAGAAAATTTAAAAAATCGTGAAATGGTATGAGTTTAACGCCCCTATCAACACTATTAGGTTATTTAAGAGGCGGGGCCTCCTAGTTTAACGTCCGTCTCCGAAAGGACCGAGTCAAGTGGGAAATGCGGGCAGAGTGCCTTTCCCAAGGACACAACGTCAGACCGAGCTGAGGCTCGAACCCCCGAACCCGCCATCTACCGATTACGAGTCCGGTAGCCTAACCACTAGGCTACCGACGCCACTCGAAGATTAGAGATGCTACTACAAGAGAGTAACAAACACAAAAAAGGAGGAAGAGAGATACGTGCGATAGATGCGTGATTATTTGATAGGAAAGAATTTGGAGAAAATCACACCAGAACACCCGCCAACCACCCACAAAGTTAGCCTATGAGCTAATTTTGAACCCGCAGATGTGCTTCCTTCAAAGATGTCATTATTTAGTTTTTGGTCCATTCCAACATGGACTGCTCAAGAGTTCCAGATCCTACTGGTTAGTTGGCTAGTGCTCTTCTGTGGTTGGCTACTTCTTTCCTAAAAAAACATATATCATTCTAATCCCTCCTCCTTCTTTTTGTGTTTGTTACTCTCTTATAATACATAAATGTACTAAACTTCTTCTCATCGACCTAGAGGTTAGGCTACCGGACTCGTAATCGAGAGATTGCGGATTCGTGGGTTCGAGCCTCTGCTCGGTCCGACGTTGTGTCTTTGGGAAAGGCACTTTACGTGAGTTTCCCACTTGGCTGGGTCCTTTCGGAGATGGACGTTAAACTCGGAGGCCCCCCGCCTTTTAAATAATCTAACAATGTTGATAGGGGTGTTAAGCCTATACCATTTTTTTTCTCTTACCTCCGGACCTTATTGTGCTGTGCTGCAAGTACTATAAAACACCTACTAAAACAAAAAGAACAGGCGTTTACACGGGAAAGACCACATTCTCCTGCTACTGGAACACAGCCGATGACACAACAGGCTCCGACTGACTGTGTCAGGGGCGAAGCGTCTATATAATCAAATAATCACTGCTTCCCTTCCTAATTTCGAAACATTGTCGCTGTCAAATTCATTCTTAAACGTAAACCTTTTAAATTAAAGGTAAAAAGACGTTCGTAATCAACAATGAACAGTATGCCTAACATTCAAAACGGTTTCACGGCCACAGAAATAGCCTCCTCACCCCTCTCGGGCCACTCCATAAGCAGTCGAAAGCTTTGATTAAGTAAGCTTAAAGTAAGGCTGTAAGAGTCTTCCAATAGACTTGAAGGGAACATGTGCATAGCAGTCCAAGCTGTTTCATTGCCACATATTATACCCTGTTCACCCCTTTGGGGCCACAGTTATAATCAATCAGAAGCCCTGATTTATGTAAGCTAACTAACACTGGTCGAGTCTACCTCACAAATGTAAGGGGAACTAACTCCTAATAATCTCTTGACTGCTCAATGTGCTTGTTTTTTTCCCCTCGACTTTTTACCGTCTTATAATCAGATCGTGACCTCGATTATGACACCAGCTCCTGGCCGCGAAAGGCTAACAAAAACAGCCAAATGTAAAATTTTAAAAAATGATAATTGTCATGTTCTACCAAAGAGTTCGACTCACTGGTAGATTTATAACATATAGATCTAGTACTGACATCTTTGCTTCTTTGCTTCGTGTTTATGTATTCACATCCAAAAGTTAAATTTAATTTTAGTTGGAACTGATATTTAATAAGATACTTTCCCGATTATTTTGGCGGCTGAACATACAATATGAATTCCGGATTTGTTTTCATTCACAACTCAGAGTCGCCGCCTCGAGTAAGATTCTTGTGTGATATCTACAGGCCATATCTGATTGTGATCCCGTTTCACTTTGATTAACCTGTCAAACAAGTCAGCCTTCGCCCCTGGACTGTGTGGATATTTTGCGCCTCCCTCGACACAATTTAGACCTTTTAAAACTGCGGCTGCTTGAACACAGCCTGCAAGGCTACATCCAGGGTGAGTGGGGAAAGGTGGGTGGTTTGTGGGTGCTCTGAAGTGGTTTGCTCCTTCTTTCCTATAAAAAATATATCGTGTCTATCTCCCGTCCTTCTTTTTAGTGTGTTTGTTACACTATTGTAACACCTCTAATCTTCGGCACTTATATGATCTTATTGTGTAGCAAGTGCCGTAAAACTTTTACTTAAAAATTTGTGGGGAAACAGGACCCAAGCAAAAGACAGAGGAAACGACCTACAAGCAATAAACTTCCACACACCACCCCCTCCATCAGCTAATCGAACTCATGTCTTCTGCCTGCAGCAGCGACGAGCTTAACCACTACACCACAGGCACCAACAGGGAGGAGGCCGTAGGTGGTCGTCACGGAGAGAGTATATAAAGGTAATAAATTATACAAAAAACAAACAAGCAAACAAGGATACACGTCATTTAATTCCTTCACTTTTCATGCTGTTGTGGTTTTGTTAACTGGTCTCGTCCCCACCCCATCCCACCCCATATAATTTTCCACGAGACTTGCAGTGTTTATTCAGTCATAGACGTTGCTTTCATAGAATCCAAACAAGCTACATATCCAAACGTGTACAAGAACCGTTTAAATGCGCCTACAACATAGGCTATATCAAGCTATAGCTGAATCACAGCCCCAATACATGAAATGAAATAACACGTTACAGTTGTCCGTGTGTAGAAGTGTAGAATATGTCAGCTTTCCCCTCACGTGAGGTGACCTCGATCGAACTTGCTCTGCTACTTTCGCGGCCAGCACAGGGCACTTACCTCTAGAGAGGAGATTGTGGCCTCGGACAGCTCCTCTCAATGCCATGTTGGTGGAGTAGAGAGAGAGGGGAGATAGTCTTGTAGTAGTCTGACACAACTTGCGCGCAAACTGACGAACGATGCGGGTGTGCCACCTCACACATACAGACACGCACAGACTGTGGGACTGACTGGCCTTCAGTAGTTGTGCGTGCCCCGTTTTCTATCTGTGATAGGCTAGTACCGGGCAACAGAATCCTGAAGTGGAAAAGATTGGTGTCACTGCTATTATTACCCTTTTGCCGTTAGGTCACGGCGAGAGAGAGAGAGAGAGAGAGAGAGAGAGAGAGAGAGAGAGAGAGAGAGAGAGAGG